TGAGATAATACACTTAAAGCACTGAAAGGACTGACTCATAATGAAGAATTAATAAACAGTAGCATTTATTATGATGAGATTACTGGCAGCGGGAGAGAAGACAAAGAGGTCTCTTGCTATCATTTGCTCATATTTCAAGAATAGAAAATTTATTGGACTTATTCCTTCTGTTGTGTATCAAAGGAGCACAGATCTCTCAGACTCAGAGTAAAAATCCTTATCTACATGTATCCCTTACAGTTGGGTGGGGACAAAAAAGAGGCACATTTTTTGACATTAGCTTGCTGGGGGTTGTCAATCTAACTCATCCCCTGAAGCTGACTGTGCTGTGCCTGTTAATCACAGTAGTCTGGTATATATTACCAAATCATATCTGATTGACTGGTTTCACTTCTACAAGCTGAAAACTCATGTACAGATACTCTCAGTTCTGTTCAGCTTTCTTCCTCATAGTACCTCAACAAGCTAGGTTCCTGACTTTGTTCTATCTTGTCTGAAATTCTGTATCACTTCTAAACAATTGCATTTTACCTTGTGGTCTTTCCTATTTTTTTAATATTTAGTCTATTTTTTTAAACATTTTAAACATAAATGTTTTGAATATCTCAGTGAGTTTTCCCTTCTCCCCTGCTATCATCCTTTACACCAGTTTGACCCTTTCTTCCTCTGTTCTGCCTCTTAACCTCAGAAGCCTCACTTCCTCTATTAGTGTCCACTAGTTTTTACAAGTATTTTCCTTTTTTGGAACATGTACTATGTAAATATCCATATTTGTCTTTGTCATTCTGATTTGCTTTACTACACATAATTCTCTCAAACTCCTTCCATTTTCTGTAAATTGAACATTATGTCTTTCGTTGTGACTGAATAGTATTCTATTATATGCATATACCACATCTTCCTGATCCAACCCATGAAATGTATCACCAATGTTTTCTTCCAATATAGATCATATATTTGCATCGTTAATCCATTTTTGAATTTACTTTTCTGCATGGAATTAGACAGTAATCCAATTCTTTTTACATGTGCCCATCCAGTTTTCTAAACATCCGGTTTTCTAATGTGGTCAAGAAACTCTCCTTTCCTCATTGTATGGTCATGACTCTTTCATCATGAATTAAGTATTGGATTTGTTTCTGGGTTTTGACTCTGTTCCAGTGATCCATGTACCTACTTTTATTCCAGTTCTGTATTTTAATTACTGTTGCTCTTTATAAAGTTTACCTCAAAATTGCTTTTGTTGTTTGACTCCTTATAGCTCTCTATAAGTTTTTATACTTTTGTTTAATTTCTTTGAAGAATATTATTTTGATGGAGAATAAATTAAATTTATATATCACTTTTGGTAAATTTATATATCATTTTGGCTATATTGATTCTCCCACTTATGAGCATGGAATGCCTTTCTATATTCTTTTATCATGGTCTTTGTCCTTAATAACTTTTTTAGGTTTCTTTGTGTATGTCCTTTACCTCTTTGGTAGGTTAATTCCTAGGTACTTGATTCTTTTTGATGCAATTGTGAATGGTATTTATTAATTTCTTTTTTACTGAATTGATTGTTTCTGCAAAAAAAGCAATAGATTTTTGTATGTTGATCTGGTAACCTGCTACTTGTGTATTTATTTATTATCTCAAATAGCTTTTTTATGGCATTTTTAGGATTTTCTATATATATTTTATATGATCTGTGAATAATGTTAGTTTTACTTCTTTTCCAGCCTGGATTCCCCATGGGGGTGGGAGGGTGGGGTGGGGGGCATTATCTAATTGCTCTAGTTAAAACCTCTGATACTAAATTAAAAAGAAGTGGTGGAAGTGGACATCTTTGCCTTTTTCCTGATCTTAAAGGAAAACCTTTCAACTTTTCACCATTAAATATATTATTCACTGTGATATATGGCCTTTATTTTGTGCTGTCTTTATCTGGTTTTGGTATTAGGGTATGATTATTATTTTTTTTTTTGTCTGACTGATTTATTTATTTATTTATTTTATTTAAATAATAAATTTTATTTTTATATTCCCCATACAATTGCAAACCCCCCATTCTGACCCCAATCCCTCCCCTCCCGCCCCCCACCCCCCAAAAAAGTGTCTCTGGTTCATAGTTTTTTGTTGATTTTGATTTTCACTTTCTTATATTCATTTTCCTGGTCCCTTATTTAAGCTTTCTAGATTCCTGCTATGAGTGAGACCATCCGGTATTTTTCTTTTTGGCTTATTTCGCTGAGCATGATCCCTTCCAAGGCCATCCATGTTGCTACAAATTGCATGTGTTTATCTTTTTTGAATGCTGAGTAATAGTCCATGGTATATATGTACCACATCTTCTTGATCCATTCATCTATTTTTGGGCATTTGGGCTGTTTCCAAAGCTTAGCTATTGTAAACAGTGCTGCTATAAACATCGGGGTGCAGGTGTTCTTTGGAATTGATGTTTCTGTGTCCTTTGGGTAAATACCTAGGAGTGGAATTGCTGGATCATATGGAAGCTCTATCTTTAGTAGGTCCAGAAATCTCCACACAGCTCTCCATAGTGGTTGGACCAGTTTGCACTCCCACCAACAGTGCAGAAGAGTTCCTTTTTCTCCACACCCTCGCCAACATTTGTTGTTGCTAGTTTTTTTAATATGTGCCATTCTCACTGGTGTGAGATGGTATCTCATGGTAGTTTTGATTTGCATTTCCCTGATTACAAGTGATGTTGAACATTTTTTCATATGTCTGTTGGCCATTTGCATATCCTCTTCAGAGAAGTTTCTTTTTAGCTCTTCTGCCCATTTTTTGACTGGATTATTTTCTTTGTTGTTGCTGAGTCTCATCAGCTCTTTGCAGATTTTTGTGATCAGACCTTTATCATTAGTGTTGGGTGCAAAAATGTTCTCCCAATTGGTGGGGTTTCTCTTTGTTTTTGTTATTGTCTCTTTTGCTGTGCAGAAGCTCTTTAATTTGATGTAGTCCCAGCTGTTTATCTTTGCCTTCACTATCACTGCTTTGGGTGATGTGTCTGTAAAGATGCCTTTGATGTGCAAATCCCGTAGTGTTTCGCCTATATTTCCTTCTATGTATTTTATGGTTTCAGGTCTTATGTCTAGTTCTTTAATCCATTTTGAGTTGATTTTTGTGTATGGTGTGAGGTAGTGGTCAAGCTTCATTCTTTTGCATGTAGCGACCCAGTTTTCCCAGCACCATTTATTGAACAAACTTTCTTTGCTCCAATGCATAGTCTTTGCTCCTTTGTCAAAGATTAGTTGACCATAAATCTGTGGGTTTATTTCTGGATTTTCTATTCGATTCCATTGGTCTGTATGTCTGTTCTTGTTCCATGTATTAGGGTATTATTGACATCATAAACCTATTAAGAAGCATTTTTTGATTTTTAGGAATAATTTCATCAAGGCCCATTTGTCCATTTTCTTCAAGATTATTGAATTTATTGACAAAAGTTTTTCATAGTAATTTCTTTTTATTTCTATGTCATCTGTGGTCATTTCTTTTTCTAATTCTGTTTATTGACGTTTCCTTCCTTCTTTAGAAAGGAGGTTTATTGATTTGGTTTATCTTTTCAGAGTCAACTTAGTTTCATTGATCTTTGAGATAGTCTTTTAAATTTCTATTTCATTTAATTCTGCTCTTATTTTTAGTATTTCCTTCTTTCTACTTGTAAGTGAAGTTTTAAAATCCCCTCCTATTATTGTGTTGCTGTCATCACTAGCCTTTTTTAGTTCTATTGCTCTTTGACTCATGTATCTTGGCTCTCCATTGTTTGGTAGATATATATTTGTAAGTGTTATTTCTTCTTTTTGTATTACTCCCTAATCATAAGGTAATGTCAGTCTCTATCTCTTATCACCTTTTAAAATTGAATACCAATCTTACATGATATAAGCATATTGCTGACTTTTTGGTTGCTTGCCATTTCCTTGCAGGATTTTCTTCTAACATTTAACTCTAAGGCAGTCCTTTTATTTGCGATAAGATGGGTTCCCTGTAAACAGCAGAATGTTGGACTTCATTTTGAAATCTGCTCACTCTGTACCTTTTAATTGGTGAATTCAATGTATTTACATTTGAGGCAGTTACTGAGATGTAAGTGCTTATTAATATTTGGTTATTTGTTTTTGTTTTTTGTTTGTTTTTCAGTTTGTCCTTACGTTTTTACCTTTGGACATCTTTTTTAAAAATATTTTTTAACCTTAAATACATTCATATTTAGTTAAGGGGGCATAATTTTCTGCAGGAGGTAATGTTGAATAATGATCTCTTCTACCTCCCATTACTTGAGATAAAGAACAGTGTGCACCAAGTTTATTCACACACACACTCACGCACGCACACTCACACGCGCACACGCACAGGCACAAACACATACACTATTGAGTAAGTAACTACAGTATATTGACTTTCCCACACAAATCACTACCATTTGAGCAAAGCTTTTCAGTACTTTGAGAGCATCTGTATAGCCTCAGAAAATTGCTGCTAGTGACTGCCTTTAACAATAGACTTAGCTACCACTGAATGTCAAAAAATTAAAGAATACCCATTCACCAAGAGGGAAAGAAAAGAGTTCAGAGTTGAAGGAATCTTTCTATTCTATAAAGACAGAGTGAACTCATCAGGAACACATCAGCTCTCCCATGTTGTTGATCCTCAAACATTGACCAAAAGGCAACCTTTCATTTAAATGAAAAACATTTCCATACTGCATTGACCCTAATACAGCTATTCTACTCATTTGTGGTAATGTTTTATAAAGTCATCAGAAACACTGAATTAGTGAGCACTGAACTATTTCTCTTGGGGAAAGCACAGGTTTAGTTAAATGCAAGCTTCTGATCATAACATTTTCAGCAACCAAAATTCCATTTGCATTGTATAGGTCTATTTGTCAATATTCTTGTAAAGCAAATGTATCTTACCAGTATCTGTTCTTCCATATAACCCCTTTTCTGTATAGATTAGTAGGTATTTAAAGTTTTTTCATGCATTTCCTTGCTCTTCAGAGTCTGTCTTACCTGCAAGTTTAATATTTTTCACTGTCTGCTGCCTTTTGAAACGTGAGCAACCAGCACTAGCTAAGATGGACTTAACATTTTCCTGACCCTGAGTAATATCACCATAAATTTCTTCAACTTTCAGCCTCACAACAGCGCTGCCACTATGCTTTTTTAATCAGTTGATATTTGATGAATGCACAAGGATAGCCACTTTTCTATAGCTTCATTATACACTATAGATGTTACTTTAGCATTTCCAGAGTGGCCTTATACACACATCAGCAAATTTCCTATTTATTTTTGTAAGATGCACCATATTGTTGATTCATTGACATTGAACTCAAGGCCAACAGCACTATAATTTCCTGAAGGAAGCCAATCTAAAATGTACATTTTTCTCTAGAAGGCACATCAAGCCTTTTTGTACCTGGAAACACTGGATAGTACTTCAGCACTATGCTTGGGATCCATTTTAAACAAAAATCACCAACAAAAGGCACAAAAATGTGAAATATTTGGCACTAAAATATCACAAAATGGACAATTGTCTGCAGTATGAGAACTGAAGCAAAACAAATTTTCTTTGACTTTTTCTGGGACTGTGTTATTTGTCTCAAACTACTCTCTGTTCTGTGTATGTTCATGTGAAAGTGGTGAGCATATATTTGGGGGCGACAACTAAATTTTAGTGAATAAATAAATTTGAACATAAGGGCCTTTGAATGAGGATTGACTATTGTTGTGCAGGTAATGGAAGGGGAATCTATTCTTTTCATGCCAATGTGGTTACTGTGAGACCTTACATCACAGACTGCCATCTTTCTTTGTGTGCAAAGTATCCTTACAAGATTGTTGTACCAGCTAATTAAGGTAAATTTTTAATATTATTTGGTGTTGTTTAAGGAAAAGATTGGGAAACTTAGGATCTGAGAGTCAGACTGACTCTCCTAATTTGAGAGAGAAGCAACGTGGGGCCAGGGGTAAGATGCAGGAGAATTACATTCTAGGGTCTAATTCTTTTTCCTTATGGGAAAAGCATGAGAATAATGTTGTTGGCTGGGAGTGTGGTGAAGGAAAGACTATTTGGGTACTAGATGGTCTGAATTTAGATGTTGACTATTTGCAGGGGATTTCTGTGAAATCGAGCTACCCAGAATCTGAAATGCTTAGAACCTGTGGGAAGTTTAAGAACCTTCTGCTGGGGGAAGATGGGTCTGGGGCGCTGAGTTCAGGTGTAACCCTTCCCCCTGGGAGAACGTAGGAATTAAGGTTCTCACTAAAGGATCTGACAATTTAAAGTGAATTTCCATGTCACTTTACGTCAAATCTTTTCATAGTACGTAACAGGTCCTTGAGACCTTCGCTCAAGGATGCAATGAGAACACATTACTGACAAGATAAAGTAAAGGAGAAAGTAAAAGAGCTTTGTTGATGCAAGAGCCACAGACTCCAGGGAGATCTTAAGGGAGTGCCTCCCAGAACAAGGTATAGTTTTGCTTTCTATTACCAAGCAGGGGTGATGAGACTAGGCTTTAGCTCTTGGGTGGGAGGTCCTCTAGTGGTGCATGTGCAGTTGCACAAAATGCTTTCTCATGTGTTACATACATAATTAGCATTTGAATCTCTGTCCATGTTAATGAAGTTCTGGTTATTTTGGGTCAGGGTTTTCTCCACTGGTTTGTGCAGATTGGGGATTTGAGCTCTTTTGGGGCTACTTTAGGTCTCCTTGCACTTGAAAAAATATCTTCTGAAAGGAAATAATATAAATATTAACAGAACAGGACTTATAACAGTAAACTCCCATAACTTACCATTTTCCTTTGCTCTGTTTTTTCTTCCTAGTTGGGCTCCTTCTAAAACACACTCTCAGCATTGTGGTGGTAGTTGAATTATTGTTCCGTTCATCTGATTCCCAGATTGCAAACATTCAGTCATCATGCTTTGATATTACTTAAATATCGTTTTCTCCCCATGAAGACAAGGGTTAATATCAATCAAGCTGATCAGATAATATTTTATGTTGCATATTCTATTTTCAGAGAGTACAGTATATACAATATATTACATTATAGAGTACAATATGACATTATCCAGTCTGTGTTATTTGTTAGAGAAGTTAATTATGTTATATAACTTTCTTTGAAAATTAAAACACATACAAATTATTCTATACCACCCCCCCCACAACAATAAAACTTGGAAAGTCAGCTAAAGAAATCTTCAAATCAAAATAAAATTTAACATACAATTTTATTATACCACACATTTCCATCACCTTTATGTTCTCCAGCTTTAAACCTAAGAGGTTTAAAATTTTAACATTTAAGTTTCCTAAATGACTTCCAATTTGTAGTTGTAAATCTATTGAAAATCATATTTTATTAGAGATGGTGGGCATACCAGCCATGTCCCCTTCTCATTTAGAAGTCATGAATTCCATACCTTCAAACCAAGGTTCCAAAATAATCTCCAAAGACTTTTCCCCCCAAACCTCAGCCTTAAAGGACAATTCTTGTATAATATTTGTTAAATAAATAATGTCATGCATTAGTATGTTACAGAAAGATTTTTTCTACCTCTCTATTTTTGTTACTCCCATTTAATAAGGTCACTTTTCTAAAAACAAACTAAAGCAAAATACACACAAAAGATGATTGAAAGCACAAGTCAATTTGCAACAACAGATCTCATCAAATGTTTCAAGATCATTTCAGTTCAATATACTGGGAAACAAAGTTTATTTCTGAAAAAGAAAAACAAAGTTTATTTCTGTAAAATTTCTTGTAAGCCTAGCATATTCTGATCTTTCTAGTTTATTTTACAATGAAGTTTCAGAAATACTTTTACTAAAATTTTATCAATGAAAATCTTATGTTTCATTTCAAAGCAATGAAATCCTGAAGATTAATTTGAACCCAGTTAACTCTCTGTTTATTCAGTCTCAAAAGGTACAGTTTATCTGTAAAGAGATATATTTATGCTTTGCACATTTTAATGAAGAGTTGCTTTGAATTTAAGAGTTTATCTTGTAACTAGCATTGCATTTATAGTTTCAAAACTTTTTACTTTAAAACTCTTTGCTGGAAACCAACCTTTATTTAGGTAATTCCTTCTGAGAGGATCAATAAAAACTCAGCATTGCTCCATTCTCACCTCTTAAAACTTGTGGTATTATTCCAATCTCCCTTGCTTTTTAGTCTTTTTTTTTTTTTTTTATTGCTGACAATTCTCAGAGATTTCTTCTACATTGCTATTAAGTCAGGGCCCTTGTCCAAGAGCCAAGCCATGTTCCAAGGTATGTCATCCTCTGTAGCCAGCCATTCATCTTTGATATCTCTGGTCAGGGCAGCCCAGTGACATAAGACCTAGATCAGCTGCCAGAGATTCTGCTCATTGTCTTGGGATCACAGTAGTACCCCTGAAGATAGCCTTGACAGAGACAGGAGTAGAGAATTTCCAGTCAGATTAGTATTCTATTCATAGCCACTCTCCTTATTGGGGAATAGGAAGAGAAAGAAAAGACCTTTTCTTGTTTCATCCTTGGAAATCTCCTTGGGTCTTGGCATGTGTATTACTTATCCTTGCTTAACTGCTAGTCTGTCACATCCAATACCAAAATGACCGGGGTGTAGCAATCTGTTAGATCTCTACAGACTTTCTTCTCTTCTTGGTCCTTTTTGATTCATTCATCTCATTGACCAAACCTTGATTAATACCTTCTGATTCTAGCCATTGGGCATGTTACTGTTTCCTTTACTTCTGAAGGTCACTTCAGTTCTATTCATTCATGCATCTATTCCCAGATTCTTTCAGGGCCATGAAAGTTTTACATTAATTCTGAAACCTTGCTATAATAAATCATGTTTACTGGTTTAAATGTTGCTTTCCTAACAATCCATCATGGGGATTTGTCTAGTACCACGTTTTTCATGCCAGGCATTATTCTGCTATCTCTGCATTTCCCTCAGTGCAGGCCAAGTCATTTTACTAGTGTCTCTGCAGAGACCAGCCCACACCCTACCCATGTGCCAATTTATTGATTACTTGAGAAATCTAAGCAATGAGTTGATATAAACTTTCTGGTCCCCAACCAAACATAGGTTATTGGAAAAATGAATTTCTGCAATTTCCCAGGTGTGTTGAGGAAAGAAATAATGTGTCTGCAAAATCTAGTTCAAATTTTTTTCCAGACAGCAGGGCTGCTAAATATAAAATAGATGAGACATCATGGGTGGAAATACCTGACTCATCCCAGCAACAAATGTATATTGAGGTACAGCAGGTATGCCTCGTTCCCAGAAAATATCTTTGGTATGTAGATTGAAATGAGCTATTTTATAATATATGATCAAAAATTTATCCTTCAGAATCTTGTTTTTGGCAAAACCCTTCCCAAATCTCTCTCTAGAACTTTGCCAAAAGTTGAAGATAACAAAATTATGTATAGATTTCTCTGTATGAATTGATTTGCATGTGCTATCCTATTAATGGCACTAGCCCAATACTGGTGATTTAATTCAGGTGTCTGTTACCAAGAAAGCGGGATGTGGATCTTGGGAACTTCAGACCCATCTGCATCATGTGGTCCAACAGTGTTCTTGGGGGTCCTTTCCTTTGTGGTCAAATGTTTGTAAATGCTATTCATCTTCTCCCTCTTTTTATTTTTAATAAACTCCTCCATGAGGCCTTGCTGACCTATACTTGATACACTAAATTCTCTGAATTTATACATTCCATTTCCTCTAACTCTGATACTTTCTCATTCTCTAATGCCATGGATCCCACCACCAGCTCCCCGAATTCTTTCTGCAATCAGTATTTCCCATTTCACATGAATGATGTGGTAAGTGTTTTCATAAAAAATTGAAGGAATTGCTCTGTGGAATCAGAGGGCAGAATTATTGATTACATAAGCAAAAGAGAGAGTTCCTGTAAGATTTCCTAGAGGAGGTAAATTGGAATTTACAGATGTACAAGATTTCCTGTAAGTACCAGGGTAGGGGTCTGGCACTAGCTTGGTTCCCATGGTGGAGACTTCCAGTTGTAACTATTTGGAATAGAGTACCTGGCATATCACAGATGCTCACAAATATTTGGTGAGTAGATGAGTAATGGAAAAATCCCTTTTCCTGGTATTATTCTAAAAAAGTAAGAGGTACTTTTTTATACATTTCTGTGTAAATAAACAAAGATACTTCTTAAGTCTACTTCATGTATTTCCTTCCCCACAGTCAGATTTCTCGAGAGTTCTCTGCATCCTACCCATGGAGGCCATATGGGCTTAGAAATTGTGTGGGCTTCAGAGCCAGCAGACTCAGGTTCAAGTCCTCACTTAATAACTGTGTGAACTTGAATAAGTATATAAGTTTCTAAACCTGTTTCCCCATCTCTACAGTATCAAAGAGGGAAAGTTTGCAGTGAGGAAAGAGATGATGTTTGTAAAATGCTTAAACCAAAATTTGACTGATGCCCAACCACAGTCATACAGAAGTCCCTGTGTATGTGCTCTGGGATTGTGTCAGTGGAGAGCTGCAGACTTACAGCAAGGACACCATTTCTCCTTCCTCCACAGCTCTACTCAAATCTTGTACCACCCCCACTTAGGCTCTTGTCTGATGCCAATATGTGAACTAAGTAAGAATTAGACAGAGTTCATGCCATTTGGCAGATAAAATTCTAGGTCCAAAAAAAAAAAAAAACCAATAACAACCAAAATTGTACAATTTTGTACAATTCGTAACTTTGTACGAATTAAGTTTTCTAATTTCACACTCCATTTAATGAAAAATTAAAATCATAATTTCAATCCACATTCTTACTAACTACCTTTATCTTGAGCCTGGATGTAAGCTCCAGGAGGCCTAGGGCCAAATCATTGGAAAATCACATCTGGCCCTTTATAACCCTCAACAGTTGATGGAATGACCTCATTTCCCTTTAGTCTTGGTGATAACTTCTGGGTCTTTCCTTATTTAAATGTCTCAAGCACTTGGTTGTCTGGGCCATTCTGCATTGCTCTTGGAAACACAGGAAAGAAACATTCTGTGCTCCTGAGCCCTGTACTGTCACAGGGATCTCTAGGAGACCATCCTATCCCCAGTGATCTCTTCTGCAGCTGTACCATGAGTGATGTGGGGGCTTGGAGTTCTGCTGCTTTCCCAGGCTTTGTGGTGCAGACTCACCTAAACTCACCTGGACCTGGGTCTTCAGTCAGGGTCTCGCACTCTGATCCCTCAGCCCCAGGAACCCTTATTACATTTTTACTATTTTAAATATATTTTAGATTTATCAGGATTCTTATGGATTATTTTGTCATAATAATTCCTTTGTTCTTTGATTCCAAGGTTTTGAAACTGAAAGCCAGAAATGAGACTTTTTGTTATTTTCTTCTTGTGGCAAAGAGTGCTGTTGCTACTGAATTGGAGATAGAGGCACTGAGTCAAGAGATATTAGTAAATCTTGAGGGAAATATTAGTGAGTTTAAAGTCTTAGTCATTTGAGTTTTTATATTTTTTTCTTATTAAAGATTCCCCTTTATTTTTCCACATTTCACCTTCTTTGCCCTTGATAGCATACATTGTCTAATTTTCTCTTCATTACCAAGGGCATCTTTCTGAAGTTAATCATGTTAAAATAGGAAATGGGAATCTAATTTACTGGGCTACTCAGCATATTATGAAAATAGTTTGAGATTAAACTGATCAATCATTTAAAACTAATATACATATATACTCCTCTATGGGGCTGTTTTAAAATACTTATATGTAAAAGGGTATAATGAAACTTACTGTCATCCTTACATTTTAAGGCAAAGGTTTAATTTAGCTGCTAAGTTATGCATTTTTAAATCTAAAACGTAAGGCTAATTAGCACAACTAGATAAATGCCAGTACTTTAAAATATTTTGCTTCAAATTTTTGTTTCATTATAAAACATTAGCAACTTATTTTTTATGCTACATTAATTTTGTTTATAAATATAAATATATTTTACAGAAATATTTGACAATTTAGTTTGTTGGGAAAAGGTCAGAAAGTAGTAATATTTTTAAATCTAGTTTCTTAAAGGAATAATTTAAGTAATGGAAAATAAGAAAAGGGATTGGGAAAGGAACTAAGTAAGGTTTTCAGTCTTTTTATTAGACAGACACAATCAGATGATTCCTTTATCAGAGTGGATTGTCTATGTCTGAAATAAATCTGAGTCTCCATTAGAAATAAATGGAATATATAATCACTTGGAATATAAATCTCAAAAAACTCGATGTCCAACTTAATTCATAATATTACCATAAGTCATGATCAGTTGTGTCAGAAAGCAGTAATGTTGAACATGAATTTCATATTTTGGCCTGTAATCATAGTATAAATTGAAGTTTTATCTAATATATATATAATTTTTACTGAAAGCCTACTATGCATAGGGATTCCTACATTACACTGCAGCTCTAACACTTTATAAAGCAGATTAACAAGGCAAATCATAGGATTCTTTCTTCAGATGAATAAGCTTATAAAATTGACTATTTGTTCTTAAGGGATATGTGTAACTTCATCTTTTATATACAACTTAAACCACATTATGTTGATGTAATGACTGAACACATATGCCTTTCTATATCTAATCTCTCCTCAGCACTAACATAGTCTATTAGAAGCTGAGAAATAGAAAATATTGAAAATGGAAAGGACTTTAGAAATCACTTAATCTAACACTCCTATTTTACAGGCAAAAATATTATGGCTTTAAACAGCTTGCCTGAGGATACACAGTGATTAAACCTGGCAAAGCCAGGCTGGTGTCCCTGGTTTCCTGACTCCTCGTCTCTTTAGCACAGAATTTTCGTTTCCTGCTCTTTGTGGGATTGGAACAAATCTGTCCACAATTTATGAAAGGAACAGAATAAAGGGCATGAAATGGCTTCATCCTGAAAATTTTAAACTGAAACCTTGAAGTTTTCTTTATGATTAGGATTACAAAATTTTTTTACCTCTAATATTCCAACACTTCTGATTACAGAGCAAAGATACAACTCACCATGCATTACCCTTTTTCCATACTTTATTTATACATCATTTTATACAGTAAAATTGCATTCACTTAAATGATTTTCCTATTTGTAATGACCTTTGTTTTATTCAACCGTTTATTCCTAAATCCCTAGCACAATTCATGGCATAATACATTTTTGGTGAAAGAATGCTATAGATTATCATTTTGGAGGAGAATAGTCTTGTTTCCTTTTCACACATTAGACACTCAATATTTGTCCTAATGACTAGTACAATAAATGTTCATGCAGGGTGTTTTTGTAGATTTCTTAACAAAAAATGGTGATACTTTTTTAAAAAATTGGTCTTATATCTCTTGTTATGCCTTATAAATGTATAAGAAATTTTTAAAAATGTAGCTGTGGAAATGATAAAAACAAGACTAAAGTGTGATTTTGTAATTGGGATCAAGACTGACTCTTTCAGAGGAGAAATTTCATTTAGCTCTAGCAGGTCACTGGTTCAAGTTTCCACTTTCCTTTTGTCAATAGTGCACTTGGTTAGAATGCTAGATTTTAATATCAAAACTATAGTTAATTAAAATCAACAATTAGGAGAGAAGACTAAATTGGAGTGCCACAATGAAGTTGAGGGAGATATGAATACAATTGAATACAATACAGAAATAGGAGAATCTTTTTTTAAAAGATTTATTTATTTATGCATACAAAAACTGGGTGCAGGCCAGAGGTGTGGGGGTGACAAGATTCACCAGAGACAGAGTGGGGAGCAGAACAGGCAGATCTACTGAAATACACTGCTGAGGGGAGCAGCAGATGAGACAGGAGAGGTCTGCTGTGCCATGTGGATTTCTCCCTGGCTGGCAGGGATTGAACTCGTGCTGCAGTGGCTGGCAATAGCTTAATAGTGCTGACTTTAACTTAATAGTGCTAACTTTAACTCCTGTGCCACCAAGGAGGCCCAGATATAGGAGAATCTTTTCAAGATTCAGTTGTCTTCCATTCCTTACTCATTTCCTATTCACCTCCTGTCAAGTTTACACATACAGTAGAGAAAAGCAAAATAAAAAGAGAATGCTTTTTATTTTTGGGGGGAAAACAATTGAATATTATCTAGTTTGGTATTTAGAGAAACTTCCTTTAAAAATTTATTGTGAGAAAAAGGTTCAGACTTTGAAATAAAGTTTTTGTTGTTTAAGAGGAAGCGATATATTTGAATAGATGATGATTTACACTAAAAGCTTAATTTTAAAACCTAAATTATATTAGAGAAATCAAAATGTATTTCACTATCCTCTTAGAGGTAATATAGGAAGTCAAAAAATTGTTGGATTGTTCCTTGTATTCTACAGGTAAAGAAGGGAAGGGAGAGGAAGGGCATGTCTGTGTAGTGTCCTATTTCCTTCACTGTTATATTATTTAATCTTCACATGTTCCTGCCACCTAGATTTATCTGTTTATGTGTATGTATCTATTTACTGTCTATCATTATCTATCTATCTTTATTGAGGTAATGTTGGCTTCCAACACTTGTATATGATTTAGGGGAACAGGTTCATTGCTCCTTAGTTGTATATTACCACACCAGGCCCACATTAAAGTATTCATATCCCTTTACCCTAGGTCATTGGGCTCCCTCTCCCTTTGGTTATGGTCTTTATTTCACAGTTCATAAAATTTAGGCTCTGTTAAGTGAAGTAATTTTTGGAGGTCACCAGTCACTTAACCTTATACCATTCACCTTCACCTACTTCTTTCCATCATGATAACATTTTTGTTCTTTGACTATCCCAAGCTATTTCCCCTATTCAGAGATCTTTGCCCCTAGCTGTAAACATGGTTACATCCCTACCTTACCTCAGATCTCTGATGACATGTCATTGTAAAAAGACCTTCCCAGATGACTCTTTATAAAGAAGCTTATCTCATGCCATTTTTAGTAAGATACACCACTCTTCTGGATACTAAGAATGAAAAATGCTGCCAATTAGCTAAAGATGCATCTTGATTTCAGAGATGCTAAAATGTGAAGAGAAAGATATCTCAGAATCGATGAAATGGAAGCTATGTAAACTAACTCTAGTGTTCCTTTACCCTGGATTACTTCTGTTTGTGGCACTCATCACTGTCTAATTTGGCTTGTAGATTTTCTTTATTGATTGTCTTCCTCTCTCTACACTAAAGTTTAAACTACATATAGAAACTTTGTTTTGCTGTGGAGACTGATTTGATGTCCTCAAGCACTCTGGACTTTATTTCCCAGTTTGTTTCAGTTAGGTGAAGCTCTGAGTTAGGTGGACAGTGCAATATAGGTAAAAGTGAGACATTCCACCCCCAGGTCTCTCCTATAAAACTATTCTTACAATTCACCAAAAGGTCATAGCTACTAGGAGGGTGAAACCCAAGTCTCTATATGATGGAGTAGAGTAAAATCCACCCCCCCATTCCATATGATGACCTTCATGAATGTGATGTAGTGAGAAATCAGTCTTCATTAAAATCATGAAAGTTGGCATTTAAAAAATTTTTATTGAGGTAACAATTTACAACACTGTATATGACTTAGAGCTATAGGTTCATACCTCTTTAGATGTATGTTACCACACTACACCCACCACTAACACACCCATAATCCTTCACCATAGCCTATTGGATTCCTTCCCATCTTTGCTCCCTAACCCCTACCCTCTCCCTCTGATAACCTCTGTTCTACAGTCCGATTTCTGGGGTTTGAAATTTGGCTTTTTTTGTGTAAGATAGCTTGCCTTGACAAATACAGTGCTCACTCTTCAATACTCAGAACTGTGCCTGGCACATAGAAAGCTTATAATAATTTACAAGGGTAGAGCAAATAAAAGGAATGGCAGTTTATATGGAAAGATGTTTAGTTTGTATTTGTATGTGAGGTATCTACATGTAAGGGTGGAGGTAACATCTTATATTTTTCCCTCACTTCAGGTGACCTGGAAGAATTTGAAAGAGTTAAAGATCTAGAGGTTGCAATATTCAATTTGTGTAAAAAGTGGGTTCAGTAGAATTAGTCAATGAGGATTTGTAGAAGGAGGGATGGTGAAAGGGAGAAGTTTTGATGTATGGATCATTAATTTGCAGAAACTCTGTGTGATAGTGTGATAGTAAGTTCAAAGTGTTAAGTAGGGAAGCTGGAAGCACAACTGAGTTTTAGTCCTAAAAATGAATTTTTTATCATAAAATAGGATGAAACATTTGTTGAAATAATCCAAGAAGATCACAGACATTTAACTAGT